CCCTGTGGCTGTCTGGGGCGGAGGTGCCACGGAAAAGACCACACTCTTCCAAGCGCCTGTTCTGAAACTATATTCTGGAGCTCATATGTAGATTTCATCCTCGCAAGCTTGGCCTCCGCAGGAACTGGGAATGGTTTCCACCCTACAGAAAGCAATTGTCCATCTCTAGAAGTTCCTGTAAACCAGAGGCAGATTGGCCATTTAATGTACAGGGAAATTTCCTGGAGGGCCACTGCTAGCCAAGGTCATTACAGGTTAACCGTGATAAGTCATCAAAACATAAACATTCCTTAGACATTGAACAATATCTAAGTAGCCCATCCCCAGCAGCTTCGTGTCTGCTCACCAATTGTCCCCTCCTGCACTGCTGCCACTTTTTTTTTGTATAATAAAGTTTATTGAAATTTTGGCAATAATATCATTGTAAACTTATCGACATTCGATGTGCAAGAGCAGTACAAAAATAGAGAAGTAAACAAACATGATAGTTAGGGTTGCCAAGTCGAAAAAAGTACTTACCGGGGGACTCCCGGTCTGCGGCTGGAGAGCGCATGCGCGCGCATATCACCAGGAAGTGACATTATGACGCCGGGCACACTGGGGGCGGGGCCACGACTATCCGAGGGAAAACCATAGAGTTTTCCCTCGGATGACCGTGGCCCCACCCCCAGCATGCCCAGCATCATAACGTCACTTCCTGGTGACGCACACGCCGGGGTGGGGTTCCCCCTGGGGCCCGATCCGCCACTGGCGGGAAACGGGCCTCTGGGGCGGGGGTTTCCTAATGATAGTGTACATTCAGAATTTCAGTACATCAAATATCTTAACTAAAGAATAATAAATAATAATAATAAAATATATATGTGGGACAAGGCAAAGGGTGAGCCCGTGCCCATCACTGGCCCCACAGAGGTCAGCGGCCCCTGAAGTCCTGGCTTGTGGCGCCACCGGGGCTGCTCTGCTGAGCTTGCCTGTCATGATCTGTGCAGGACTGGGAGCAAGGCCTAGTGTGGCCTAGGCCCCAGGAGAGACCTGTGTGGCAGTGGGAAGCAGACAGCCTACAATCTCCACAATGCAGCGAGAGTTGTAGCCAATCCATGTCCAGGGATTGTGTGAAAAGATTGGGACTTAAGCTTTGAGGGCTGTAAAACTGTGTTCTTTCTCTTCTGTGGTCTTGTCTCTCACAGAGTTAAAACTGAGGGGACAGTCTGGTCCGAGGGAAAGATCCCTCACTTGGGACAGAGTAAGTACAGACGCGCCTGGTATACGAGGCTGTGGGCCTTGAATAGTAACCAGTTAAGTGAAATAGGTAGCCGCGTTAGCTTTGTGCTTACTTTCCTTTAGACACTGTTATATATTTTAAGCACCCTCTCTTGCTTTCCTTGCCCCATTACTGTATAAAATAAACCATTTGCTTATAGTTCTCTGCCTGGTCATCACACCTATATATTTCTCGGCTTAAAAGAGGCATTTTGGTTGGGCTTGGGAGGGTACTCTGGGCCTTTCCAAGGGACCCTAAGTCCAGAGTGGTGGCAGACGAAGGTGGCAACCCACTAGGGGTCATGACATTGCCACATGGCCATTCTCTCTCCCTAGTCTGCCTCTGCTGTAAACTATCCCTCTCCATCACCAGCTGGGAACTGGCCACACCCCTTCTGACGGGATCATTTCCTCTGGTGTCTGGAATTGGGGCTCAATTGTGCTTTCTGGAACAACGTTAATATGCCAGTGTCTTGGATTTCTAGGCCCTCTGCTCTCGCTCTCTCTCTGTAATAATACCTTCGCTTCATCCTGCCGTCACGCAGATGCACAAAGATAGGTTGTGCCCACACAGTGACGATTCTCTGTCATTGCCTCTGTGAATTTCAGAGGCACTTGCTCTAGCCGCGGAGCATCCACAGAAGAGTTCCATGTGCAACTTTCTTCCATCAGCCACCACTTACCAGCCACCATTTTCCTCTCGCCATTCCGCCAGAGGGCTTTTTTTAAAAAACAAAAGGTAAATGCTATTGCACTATATCGCGGTAACATTCTAATGACCTATGGTTGCCAACCTCCAGGCGGCACCTCGAGACCTCCCACTATTACCAGAAGACCAAGATCAGTTCCCCAAGAGAAAATGGCTGCTTTGGAGACTGGGCTCTGTGGCATTATACCCTACGGAGGTCCCTCCTCTCCCCAAACCCCGCCCTCCCCAGGCTCCGCCCCCAGAATCTCCAGGTATTTCCCAACTCAGAGCTGACAACCCTATAATGACCGACTGCCATAATCAGATCAGATCAGATTTATTGTTACGGTCAATGGCTAACACACTCAGTCATTTTACATAAAAAACATTTGAATAAGAAATATGGAATGAATCCAACAGTGGCATTCTTAAACTAAGAATCTGTAACTATAACATAAAAATAAAATAAAACAGCCATAAAACTCATGTATATTTTAGATAAAAGATACAAGCTTCGTCTAATTGCCATGCATTTTACGTTCGTTATTTATTTATTTATTTTGATTTCTATCCCACCTTGCCTGACAAGCAGGCTCAAGGCGGTGTAGAATAATAATTTACAATAAAAACAGATCAAATTCAACAATAAAATATAAAGTGCAAATTACATACAAACAATA